AAAAAAAGGGGGTTCCTGGGGAGGTTCCCCTGGGGGAGGAGGCGCGAGGAGCCGGCGGGGCCCCGTGGGGATGGGGGACGTGGCCGGGCTTTGTCTGTCCCCTGGGATCGCCGTCCCCGGGGTGCTCTGCGGAGAGGTGGTGGGACAGGAACGGCTGTTTCAGTGCAGGGCGAGGGCTGTGTGCGCGCACGTGTGTGTGTGCACGCGCGCGTGTGTGCATCTGTGAGTGTGCATCTGTGTGCACACATGTGTGCAAGCATGTGTGTGTGCATGCAAGTGCATGCATGGGTGTGGACGCACATGTGTGTGCATGCTCAAGTCTGCATGCATATGCATGCGTGTGCGGATGCATGCACATGTACGCATACAGATATATGCAGGTGTGTGCATGCACACGCGTGTGTCTCTACATTTACAACCTCCCTAAAGGGCTCCCAGCCCCAAATCCCAGGGTGCAGGGAAGGGGACAAGCATGAGCTGGGCAAGCTTTGCACGCACACATGCAGACACGCATGCACACGCACACACACGCACACACCAACCACCCCAGTGCTCGGGGACACCCGCAGGGACATCCCAGCTGCTGGGGCATCGCTCGTCCCGCAGCCCGTGGGGTCGGGACGCCGCTGTCCCCCCGCACCAGCCCCATCTGGGGGGACCATCCAGGCTGGGGGCCGCGGGCTGCTGGCCTGGCCCACACGTTGGGGACCCGGGGGCCCCCGCCGTGGGGCCGGGAGGTGCGATAGCTGCGGGCTGGGTGCTCCGATAATGGCCCCCAGCGTTATCTGGGTGCTGCCAAGGGCTCTCCTCCCTGCAGCAGCCCTGGGGATTTTGGGGGTCCCTCCCCTCCGGGGTGTCCCGCTGCCCCCCGACTGGGTGCTATGGGCTGGGACCCCTTTGCAGGGGCAGAGGAGGGCACGGGGCACCCCGGGGGGCATAGGGAGGGGGGATGTGTCCCCGTGGGTCGTGGCGGGGGGGTGCCTCTCGGCTCAGGATGACTCTGATTTATCTGGGTGCTGGGAGGGGGACGTGGGTGCCCGTGGTATTCACCCCCCCGATTTCCCTGTCACATCAGTGGGGAAACTGAGGCACGGCACAAAAGGGGGTGCAGGGGGCATTGTGGGGC